TACATCTTTTATACTAAGCTTCAGAATATAGATGTGTCCAATTGAAGAAGAACGTAGTTAAATGTGAATCTCAGAATAAGAGTAAGATCCAATAATTTCATCTTCGCATTGATGCTAGATTATGTCAAATTTGACAAACTACGACGTCGTTATACATCAAGAAAAACCATTGATTCACTGACAAATTCATCGTCCTCTAAGTTTGAATTTAATTGAGTAAAGATCAAGTAACAAAAATACAAAAGCTTTATCGATACATTGTCCAACTTAGACCTAATGATCAACCTTTGATCCATCAATAAATTTCTCTTTAGATCAATGCCAAAACAATAAGTTTATTACTAAACAGTAGAAACAATAAAAATTCGTTACTGCTAGATGTAGAAAAAGTAAATATTTGAAGGAGAATAAAGGATTGTTATTTATCCTTATATAAAAGCATATTAATTGTATTGAATCGTTTTATATTCATAAAAATGCTTCGATTTAGATAGCAAGAGAATTAAAAAGACGTCGATGACTGTACTTAAGATAAACTACTAGAACTTCAGATGAAAAATATTGTTCGAATTTTATAGGCTTCCTCGTTTTGGATAATACAGATGATTCTCACAGTCTACAGTAACGAGAGAAGTTCATATTGCAAATGCCAAAATGTAGAATATATCCATCAAATTGATAGATTGAAAAGAGTTTATTATCAATCTATCTTAAAGTTTATTAGGTAACTTCTCTACATAGAAATATAGAACGCAATGTGCTACAATGAGGAGACAATTACTGAACTTTTTCTTAAGATGACGAAACCTTTAAAAGCTACAATATTAAAAATGAAATATCCAATTTTAGTGAATATTTCTTAAAAACAAACAACAATAGTTATTTGTTCTATCGGCAAAATAAAACGCTGAGAAAAAGAAACATTTTCCTTGAAGGTACGAAAAAAAAGGGTGTGGGTGTGAGTGCGTTAAGAGAAGACCCACACCCACAGCCCGTTGAGTAAGTTATGAAAAGGGGAAAGAAACGGAAGTAATTCATTGGTTTGAGAAATAAACATTTTTCGTAAGGTTTGGGCCTCAATGAGAACTAGTTTCTATGTAAACAAAGAATTTCGAAAAGTGAAAACTAAAACCTCGAAATCCAATAGTAACAATACTATACTTCAGTACGTATCATTCATTGAAAAACAGCGTGCAAAAATTTGAATTTGCCATGTCTTCATTCTCAGTATATTCTCCATATCTGTTTGGAAAGTGTCTAGTTACGATTACGAATTGATAAGACGTCATCATAAAATAATTTAGTAAGAGAGGATTTTTGTTTAAATTCTTCTAGGTTTAAATGAATCATCTGAATTTTCTGTTAATTATATTTACATCTTACAAGGACCATATGATAATGATACAACACCATTTCCTATTGCTTATCAATTACCATTCAATCAACTCTAAGCAATCCAATTATATTAATAGGAAAATGACAATAAGTTTTTCAAACAATGAATTTCTTTGAAACTAATCAATCGTAGAAAAGAATACAAGAAAAATTTCAAAAACTTTCATCTTGTTTTCAACAAAATATATTATCAAAAAATTCAAGCATTATGTCCAATCGTATCAGTTCAACAGCTTTTTTAAACTTTTGCACGGTTTAATTAGTCATCACAAGCATTTCGTTTTTATCCAAAACCATATAAACAAATGACTCTTTCAGAAAAATCCTCAGTACATAACCGTAGTTCAATGCGTATTTTATCACGAGATCCACCATGTAACAATATAGGACATTTAACAATAAATTCTACACGTGGTCTGATTGTTCAAGGCTTTTAACGTGTTTTACAATTACTTAATACAATAAATACAATTACATGTAAAGATAAATCGAACGCATTAAAACAGATTCTTGAATTAAATAACGATTTTCCAAATGAAAAAACAAAATCATTTGTTCAATTAACACTTTCAAGCGAAAATAATTATGAACTTGATGAATGGATTGGATGGATAAAATCACGTTTCGCACGTTTTATAAATGATTGTGCAGAAAAATGTCATTTAAATATTCAAACATAAAGTTCAATTGAATATCGATCAAACCCTTGTGAAGCATTTTATTCTATTGCTTTTCAACTTGATCCACAAACACTAATTCAACATCGAAACTTTTCGAATTGTTTAAAGAAATTCGTTAATCAATTTAATTTGTGTCTAAATCGCAAAGAATAAGAAAAGAGATCAATTGTTTTTTTTTTGTGTTTTATAAATAAACAAATGAAATTCTGTTTGATTCTTCGCAATAGATAAATAACATGAAGCAAAATATGTAAGCATAACTGACTCTGTTATTGATTATGACTTCAATTTAACTGTTGACATGATCTATTTTATCGTTTTTTATCACAAACAACATATTTATTTCAATTGATAACATCTATTTTTATGATCGATTGAGCTATGAAACAGACATGCCATATAAAGATATGCTCATTTATTATTAAACTAATCCAAACAAATTTAAAGTATTTTATTTCGTTTTGTTTTGTATGATAGGATAGATTTTAATGAAGAAAATGAAATTTTCTTGGATATTCAAATAATAGATATGAGAAGGGGTTAATGTCAATAACTTCATCTCTTTCTTGATTTCAGTATTTTTATGTCGATACCTTTTAAGAAATAGTCCCATGATTTAGTCGACAAATCATGTCATACAAAAAATTTGACCGATCAGTTTTATAATTTCAAATAAAAAAAGCATATAAGAAACGTATAAATCCGAACTGTTAACCTTTTTTGAGTGACCTTTGGCTAGATGATATTCGAGATCCTCTCGAATACAAAATACGGTGCAAAGCACGAAATGTCGATATATCTGGAAAACGATATCGGATAAAAATCGAAAAAACAATTCTCGGATCAATGCCAGATAGCCTATCTGATATAGTTCTTCACGTTCTATCTAGCGAAGAGATTTCTCTCGATCTTTGTTAATCGAAAATTTTATATTTCATTGAACCAACGTATCGACATACGAAGCAGCTGATGACAGATAATGAATCATGTAGATAATTAAATGATCAATCAACACTGTTCTTTCAAGAGTCACTGACATACTTTTATAGAGTTCTTCTAGTGATGAATTTTACAATTGCTACTTTGCAGTTCCATGATTAGTTCGGTCAGCTGATTGATAGAAATAGAAACTTTCCAATACAGTAAAACGAAGAAATAGTGCTTCGTGTCAAACGCAAGTATTTTTCCGTGAAAAATGAAGATTACTATGTTCTAGAAGAGTTGCAGGAATTTATTAGTAAAGATAACAGTAATATTTATTTTTCGATAAAATGCATTTTGTCACGATTCTGAATTGAAATAAAACTATATACTAAAACTCGAATCTTGCTCGCTCTGAAAATCTCAATAGAGATCCACATAGAGATTGATTAATCATTCACGGTAGAAGGAATGCACCAATCTTGATCAAATAATCTGAGATATCCATTCATCCGGTACTGACATATTTAGACAATTTTTATATTATACAATATCAATAAAAAATAAATACATGTATTAAAGTCTCTCGAGCCTTTCTTTCTCATTAAATACATTTTTAATAATGTGTCTCCAGATGGTATGTACGTTCTCACAAAACTTCTGACAGGATATATTTCAATAAACATTTTGCAAACGTTTTCAGTTGTTCACATATAACAATCAACCAACAATTAATAAAATTTTTTGAAAAAAAACAAGAGAGGGGAGTAAGTACGGGTATTTATCTTCTCTTAACTCATACCTTCATCTAATGTCAATCCAATTTCAAGATTAATGAAATTATTAATACTACTTTTATTAAAAACTTTTTCGACAATTAAGTTGAAAAGAAAAAAAATATTAGTTATAAACAACAGTATGAATGATAGTATCATTTATTCTTAAATTTCAATTGAATCTGATTGATTCTGTCGTTCAACAAATGGATAAATATGTTTAAGATCATTACATTTAACTGAAATCTCTTTTTGTCCTCTTTCATATCGATGATTCCAAGTATGTCCTTTGCAAACATCAAATGGATCGAATTTAAAAATTTCTTCAGGTTTTCGTGGTGTAGGTAACCATAATTCTCCAAATGGTCTCATAACTAAAGGAAAAACATGTTCTTTTCTTGCAATAGTTGAAGGATAATCGGTTTCCCATAAATGTGTTTCATTTGTAGCATAGAAGAAAATATCAATAAATGGAAAATTCCATGACAATCCTCCAGCTGATGGAGTATTTTTGAAAAAAATTTTATAATATCTTGGTTTTCCGTTTCTATTTGATAATACACCATGTTCTACTAGTGTCTTATTCATTTGCTTAATTATATCAATAAAACGGGTATGTTCTTCAATAGGTATCATTATATCAATATCATCATCCCATGGAATAATATCATGATGTCTATATGAGCCTAATAATGATCCATAAATTAATGAAAATGTTATTTTATGTTTTCGACATATTCGTTCAATAATCATTAATAAACGCATAGCTAAATTATGTTCACACGGAGTAAAAAGACGAGCAAGATAAGGATATGATTTCCATTGAGAATAACGATAAGGTAGACGATAAAGTCTTGTTGAATTAATTGATGGAGCTTGAAGAAAAGGTGATTCAGGTAGATATTGTTCATTATCAAGACGATTTGTCATATCAAGACACCAAATTGAATTATGATCGACTGATGTTTTTTCATCTTCTGTATTATTTAAAATTGTGTCAAATGTCTTTGATGTAGATGAAAAATTTAGAAAATAACATAATGACGACAATTTGAAATATCGAGAAGATTGAAATGAAATTAAAACAATAAGTATAAATAAACTGAGAAGAATAATAGAAACTACTTGACGTACCAATGCTGCTCGAGGAATCATGTGTTTTATTTCGATTTTATTGGTGCTTGAATTTTATTAATAAATGTATTAAAGAGTAGCAGTTGATATGATCATCATAGCAAGAAAATGAAAGTTGTTTATTCTCTGTTTTGATTCTTTTTAATGAAATATTCATCGTTCGAGATGAATGCATAATCAAAAATTATAAGAACAATAAACATCTGTTGACATGACAAGTTGTTGTTGATCGTGAATATCTCGTACTGATGTATCTCAAATATTTGAGAAGGTCGCTAAATGTATTTTCGATCATTTTAATTTGTCCCATGGAAAAGTGCAGCTTTTTACTCATGTCTCAAATCTTATCGTATCGTATTTACGTTTCAATTGTATTGAAGATTGTATTATAAAAGAAATCCCCCAGGGTTGTCACTCAATGCATTAAACTATTTCTATGCGGATGTGAACATGAACGTGTGTAAATGTTGGTGTAAAGCCGTCTATTAGTAAACTGACTTTAGTTCTTTTAAAATCTTATGAAAATAGGATCTATTGTATATCACTCAACGCGTCTCGGAAAGGTCTGTAGCATGGTAGATTTGCTTTTTTATTTCTGCTTAGATCATCTTATCGATAAAATCTTTTGAACGACCCGTAGTAGTTTAAGTGTTATTGGTATCTCACTGAAACGGCATCGGGTAGTAATTAGTAAGTATAATTTATTGAGATTTCAATGACACAGAAAATGACTTTAAGCATTGTTTCAAACAAACATTTTAATCACGTAAAACTTATTTTCTATTGCAAAAAAAACACAATAATATTCAAGCAAGTTTTCTTATGATTGAATTATTCTATGGATGTAATTGAATGACTTCAATGATGATAGATTAAACACGAGCTTTATATAGTAAGAAATGCATAAGATATTGTTCTTCAGGAGAAGTATAATGAAATGATATAGTTTGATCACTACAACAATTGTAATGCTAAAACGAAAAAGATACATCGATAGTTAAAAATAGAAAGAGATTTCTTTTCAACGACTTACAGATTGTAATGGATTTTCAGCACGTTTTACAAGCCAATCAGGAAAGAGACCCTGAAAATGATGAGCAAATGTAAGTGGATGAAATAGTTCACGATTTTCTTTATCCAGTGCTTTGCCTGGATAAACACCTTTTGTACGAAGACATCTTGCTATTTCAATATCTTCAGAACCACCATCTTTAGCACAATTTGATGCTGGATCATTATATGCTTCATAAAATCGTCGTAATGATTCTCGACTCAATACGTAAGATGCTCCACCTGAATGGTATCCTTTAGGAATGTGAATCTGAATATAAAAATAATAAAGAATTTCAATCTAATGTCTTTTTTATGAATTAAAATCATAATTATTCAACTTCAAAAAACATTTCATTACAAAAGGATGACCTAGTTCTTGTCTTATTAATACCCTACAGTTATTAACAAGGAACGAACAAGACTACTTTAACATAGTTTCTCAGAGTATTGATTATCTTAAGGAGTTCCCTCTTTTTCGACGCAAAACTTTCAGTTTTTTCATTTTTTTTATTTTTGTGTTTGGCATGTAGATGTCCTCTATCTGATTAGTGTACTTTAAGAAGAGTAAACCACATTTTTTTTACATGTTAAAACCTCGAAAAAAGCTCAGTTTCGTGCCCAACATGTCAAAAGCACGAGTTTCTTCGGCTCTTTTTTTTTCCTAAATAGGAAAGCCGATTGGGCTCAAACTTCTTTTGTGGGTATTTTGATCAAATCGGACTGTGTCTTTTTTTTGCTTCTCTTGAAAATATTGTACCGATGAAGTTTTCTAGACTTTATAAAATTAGTTCTATCTTAAAAAAAGTAGCTTTTTTAATGACTTTTTGATAGTGTATCCAGTGTTTTTCTTTTGGGTCAAAAACCATATCACAGTCAGTTCACTGTACTATACAATGAATATACTCAATCCATCAATAAGCACAATAATAGATGATAACTTATATATAATTACTTGAAAGGTGTATCCAAATGTAACAGGTTCTGATGAATTTTGTTTACTTAAGAATGTTTTCAAATGGTCCACTATCAAATATGTATCATCATCTGCTTTGATAAACCATTCAAAATCATTTAAATAATTTTCATATGCAAATAAAAAGGCTAAATTTGATTTTT